TGCTAATTCTGTGAACTTAGCTACATATTCCATTACTGTCATGGTACCTTGCCTCAAATCCAGGAATTCTCAGGCCTTTGCATGTCTAGCGGCCGCCGAAAAGTACTTCTCCATGAAGAGTTCCTTGAACTCAATCCATGTCATAACCTCCAAGTTCTTGGAGTTCTTGACCTAATCCCACCACACTTGAGATTCCTCCTCTAGCTAAAATGTAGCTAGGGTTATCTTTGTGGTATCGAAAGTGATCTCCAATGCCCGCAACGCCTTATCCACTTGTCGAAACCAGTGGTCAGCCACCATAGGATCCGCCCCTCCCATGAAGATTGGAGGTGATGAGCCTTGAACTTCTGAAGGTGACTTGTGCCTCCTTGACTTCCACTTGCACTTGTCTGTGCAATGGTATTCGCCGCCGCACCAATAGGCTCCACAAAGACTTGTTGGTCAATGGGCGATGGGAGTTGGTTGATCCACCCATCGCCTTGGCATCCTCTTCCTCAATTTGCCATCTACACACATGTCAAATAGCAATCCAACACTCACATTGTGTCTCAAGATAGGGATCGAATTTAAAATTTAGAGATTTTCCTCCTTGTCTCACTAGTAGTGCATATGCCATCTACTAACAGACATTATACATTGAACTACACCGTTCATCCCTTTTTTCGAAACCCTATGTTATATTTTCTAACCCTAGTATTTCTCTTTTTTCCACATATATTTTACCATGTATATCATTCACATAAACACATAGCACGTAATCATGTAGTAAAATGTAAGCACATAAGATGAAATGTACAATGTATGCAATGGTCTAAACTCAATGCCCATCAAGCCCTATGTAATCACATACCTATGCTCTGATACCAAGCTGTGGCGCCCCTAAAATCGGGGGTCCCGTTGACCATCCGTTAACCCACAGAAATGCCCGTGAATGCCATTGGATCCGACATCATGCTAATATTATCCCATTTAAAGTCCATTTGTATCATTGGAACTAAATGATGTATAGCCCAAGACCTTAGAAGAAAAATAAAAAAATTTCAAAATCTGCCAAAGTGTACCGATACGCGTACCGGTACGCTGGGTCCATTTTTTCTTGTTTCACCTGTTCTCGATTTTCAATCCAGTTTAAACTTTTCCAAATTCATCCTAAACATATTTAACAATGTTTTTCACATACAAGTGAATATATACAAGGTTTATTACAAAATATTCCATACATTTACATGTCAAATGAAATTTTACCAAAAGTTTTACAAAAACTTCTTTTCAAAAGCCACAACTCAGCTTTTCTTCAACGTTGAGGTCCCAAATGCAAGTCCTCCACCGGTACAGCCCCCGCACCTGAAATGTGTTCTCGTATAGGGTGAGCCAACGCCCAGTAGAATATTTCCTACAGAGGCTACTCTCCACCTAAGTGCATATGAATGTATACATGCAACAACACACAACCAATATCCATTCTTATACAAGAATATGCAATTCATGTTGGAATCTATGATGTCATGCCATGAATGAGATGAAACTCACTCACGCACATCAATCTCGAGCCTTTCACGGCTCCTCAATACATGCAAATGCCAATGCATATAAAACCGAGCCCTTCCAGCTCCCGCCATTTATATTATCCTCTAAATGACTATTTAAAATCTCCGGGTCTTTGTTTGGGGTGAATTTTTATGGATTTACACCAACGGTACCCAACCGACACAGAATTCATGGACTTTCACCAACGATTTTGCGTACACCGACATACTTTATAGGCTTTTATACCAACGGAGTGAGTATCCAATTACTGGGCCTCTCACTCGAGAGATAGTCTAGCCCTTCTTGCTACCCCGACCCAATTTTATTTTTATGCAACCGTGTGACTCTGTTGAACCTTAGTCCAACGGTACCGAGCTCACGTGTCATCCACCAAGGATGATGTTTGACGTAACTATGCACCTACACACCCACACTCATGCTTATGGATGTGTTTGTCCCGTGCATATGCAATATAGTTCACCATTGTTACATCCATGTTATGCTCTATATGTGATGAGTGCCAATTTAGCAATATATGCACATATGTCATGACAATTTATATCAATTGTATATAATTATCATAAAATCATTACAACGTCAATATCTCAATGAACACATATTAACATTTCTTTTCAATACATTTTCTAAGCATGCTATACATCATTATGTCATAACAACTTGATTCACACATAGGCATTTTGGTAAACACCTTCAAGACAACAATTCATGTTATCACACAAGAATTTTCATATCATTCACAAAGCATAATATAAAATATATAGCATGCCAAAAATATCAAATTTCAAGAAAATCACACAAGTAATTTTCTATGCCAACATAACTAGGAATTGGTCTAGGCCAAATTTTATACTCATTTCCTCATTTTCATAACCATAGTCAATGACCTAAGTTATTCCATACCCTTGCGTCATTCCAAATACACCCTAGATAAAAAAGTGAATCAAATTAGGAGAAATCCTACCTCTTAAAGCGTGATACGAGTGAGAGAAAACTTCTAGGCACCTCCCTAACCTCAAAACTCTTAAATTTATCTTAGTGCTACTCATTTGATTCTTTTTGTCAATTTTTTTGGTCAACCTAGCATTTCCCTATAAGACTTTAGAATCGAAACCGCGACCTTGGGGCTCCCATGATACGTTCCATTAAGATGAAGACAATAGTAGTAGTTTTTTTTATCCTTTTTGGTGGGCATGAAAATATCAAATGACCTTAACAATGTTGTCTTAACACTGTTGTCTATAAAAGAGCATAGAGAATCTCCGATGACAGAGACAACCACAACATTATTTACCCTGTTCTCCACTTCCCATCCAACAGCCTTGGTTCTATCATTAGATTTGCCATGTACAGATCCTCCAAAAAACACATACACTGGCCCAAGGCCATTATTGGGAACTATCGATCATGACAAAAAAAAAACCAACATCGTCACAAACTCGGACCCATGAAATTTGACTCATCCATGGTGAACTATTAGAAATATGTTAGGATAAAAAGAGATCTATCATAATTTGTTTAATAGAGAAAAATGATAAGATTCATCAAGATTTATCAACATTAGTATATTCCGAATAACTATAGATAATGATAAGTATGAGTGATATATTTATCTTGATTTATTCTCACTCTAATAGGATTCAGTTACATGCAAACATTCACGGATTTGGATCCTCTCGATTACCCCTTCCCTTCAATGCATTGATTGATAGATGAGTGACATGTGTAAAATTCTAAATTTCAATAGATAAGATTTTTTCCTTGTAGAAAAATTCCCTAATATTGGTTAACACTCCCCATCAACAATAAAATGAATGAAAAAAAATTTTGTCCATTCAAATTTAAAATTTTATACATTACTCATCTAACACTGCATTAAGAGGAATTGAAGGAAATGAGTAATGAAAAAGATCTAAATCCAACGTTCACCATCAAATAATACATCGATACAACCAATTGAACATTTAATTCGTAGATATAAGTAAACTGTGTCAAACTACGGATACCTTTATGGTTTATATACTTTGTGTTTTATTTGGCTTTTCCTTTCCTAGCTCTATTCTGATGACATTCTTAAGCTTTTATATGGACCCATGGGAAACTCATGAATTGCTTTTTTTTGCCAATGGCCGAACTGTCCCAAGTCCCAACCACCACTTGTTTTCCAGCCAATGACTACTACATAAACTCGAAGTATGTGCAATTCTCTAACAAGCACTGAGATTGACCGACAATAACAATGAACTTGAGTTCTTGCCCCGGCGGAGGCCGGGGTGAAGGCTCCTGACACTTTGTACCTTAAAATATTTTAAGATTCTTAATTTTATATTCAAAAGATTAATTTGTTTGATTTGCGTCTTAAAAAATACTATTTAAAAAAAAGTTTTGAGAAAAATTTTAAGAAAATATTTTTGAAAAATTTTAAGTTGCAAAACATGTTTGGTTATGTATTTTGAAAAATAGTTTTAAAAAACAAAAAATTATAAAACTTATTTGGATAGTAATCCACAAAATCCCCAATTCCCATCTCTCCCTTTCTGTCTCCTTTCTCTCTCCACAAAACACACACAGAGTAAAAATACACACTATAAAATACACACACACACACAGTCCACATATATGCACATATATATACACACAAATGTGTATCTGTATGAATTTGTACATATATTTGTATATATATTTGTTGAATGAGAGGATACGCAAGAGAGAAAGGAGAGAGCAGACGAGAGAGAAAAGATAGATCAAGAGAAAAACTAGATGCCATAAATCAAATTCGTAACCCATAAATCAATCAACATATTTCAAGATTTGAAACCAAATACCAAAAAAAAAAAAAAAAAAAACCCACTATGTGTATTTCCTTCGAGATCTGTAAATAAATGTCAAAAAAAAAAAAAATTGAAGGAGAAGACGTTGAAACCAAATATTGAACCTAGATGCAAAAAAATAAAGACAAAACAATGTTTGAATGTTTGATACAGCACAACGATTGTTGAAGCAACACAGTGATCGTTGCACAGAGAGAGAGAGAGATCGTTGCAGAGAGAGATTGAGTTGGGTAGAGGGCCTTTATACTTCAACGAAGAAAAAAATGTGCTTTACTGTTAAGAAAGTTTGATAGGTGAACCTCATTAAAAAAGAATGGATATTTCCCTTATTTTCTATTTTGAATTGAAAACTCATAAAACATCATTTAGATGTTCTGTATTTTTTGCTCCTCAATTCCCACTTTTTTTGAAAACCGCTAACCAAACATCTCACAAAATTGTGTTTTGAGAACAAAAAACTAGTTTTGAGACACAAACCAGACACCACCTAAAATTTTCACATTATACCCTCAAAACTTGAGGAAACGTCTTTTTCCCCTTCCTAAGAGGAAGATAGAGTTCTCAGCGCCTAGAAACCGAAGGAACATCAAGACGAGGAAATTCTTCTATTGTGACGAAAATGACTTTTTACTAAACAGAAATTCTGGGATTCAATCTACACGTCTGACTGACTGACTGACTGACTGATTTAGAGGAACTAGTAAGTGTTTTTAGCAGACGCAACAAAAGATGGTAGCCCAACACTAGCTGTCAGGTAAAAACACAGCAATCTCATAACACAGATGTCCAAACAGTTTTCCTATTGCCATATATGAAAAACACGTTATCTAACCACCAATCACAAAACCTTGGGAGGAGATAACAAATATACAATAGATCTTTAATACATATACATACCAAATTACCTTGCAAATCATAACAGCCTTTATTCGACGCAAGATGTACTTAAAAAACCCAGTGATCTTGCTGCAACTGGATAGGTTTAAATAGTGCGAACAGCTGCTTACCCGGACCATGCCCTCTGAGAACCCCCAGAAGAGTGTCCATTCAACCGGTCGAGCACAGTATTGAAATCAACAGGCTGACCACTCTCCTCCAGCCTTTGAATTACGCCCACAATATGATCGCCCCTATATCCCATGTTCACTAATTTCTCAATCAGCTCATTGTAGGGATGGTTGCGAATGAGCTGTGGAGGGCGAATCATAACATTAGAGCTACTGGCTGGTTGTGGATTCTGGATAGGGACACTCGTGGGAGGATAACCACTTTGTTGGAAGTGAGGCTGCTGGGGTTGATGGTGCACCCTTCCTCCTTCACTGTCAAACATCATATATGCATTTCCCGGGGAAAGTGTAGGGTGGGGCCCAGCAGCTGCAAACCCATCCCCTGGCTGTGCTCCAAAAGCAGTCTTGAGATGCTGAGTTGGTGGCTGTTGCTGAACTGTCCTACCAGCCCCACCATATCCGTAAGGCATTGGTTCGGCCCGGCTCGCACCCGGCTGAGGAACTCCGGCAAAGGGCAACTGCATTGACATGCTGCTTGGGAGTGTCTCCGGAGGAGATGGATTTGCTGGTTGGCTATGCAGATATGGAGGGTAAACTGTAGCAGATGAAGGTTTAATCTGGGTCTGCATGGAGGGCTGTTGTGGTTGCTGCACCTGCGGAGGTATCCGCTGGGGCCACTGCGGCTGATACTGCAGAAATGGCTGGATATGTGATGTCTGATTCACTTGAGGTTGTGCTGGCTGTGGTGCCATCCTAGAAATGTCTTGCATTTGGGGAGATTGATACTGAGAATTGCATGGTAAATACTGACCGTGAGGTTCTTGGATTGGAGCTGAATGACTTGGTATCGAGGATGCGGGTAGGTAATATGCCTGCGATTGTGTCATACTCTGAGGAGGCATTGATGGTGGTGCCGGAGCAGGCTGCTGCTGCTCCACAGGTCTGGTGGGAAGCGGAGGCTGTGGCGCCACTTGATGGGGTAGGGCTAGAGCCAATTGCATGCCATGCATGTCTGATGTGTTCTCAGTCTTTTTAGGATCAGAAGCAGGTGGGTCGGCTCGGTCTTCTCTCTGTTGAGAGTTGCTTGCAGAAGAGGATTCTTTGTTTGCAAGCTGAAGCTTGGCTAGTTCCTTCTGGGTTTCAGCAAGTTCTTGCTTGTCTCTTAGGATCTGTACAGACTTGCGAACCTGCAGTGGCAGGATAAAAACAAATGCTTTTATCAGAACCACTTGTAGAAGTGACTGACAGTAAGATTAAACAATATAACCATGAGAGAGAAGCTAATAAAACTAAGCCAGTTAACATTCATGAATAAAGTTGAATTAGTTTGCCTAAAGCTCAAGCAGGAATATCAGAGAACAGAAGCTACCCATTTATCGTATTGAAAAGAGCCAAGGATTAGAAATAAATGTCAACTGACAAACATGTTTCTTGCTCCATTCCCCACAATCTGGACATTGTGACATTCAATGAAGAACACAACATAATAGATGCCAACTCTCCTGCTATCAACCAAGCAGAATAATGAGAAACTGCACCACATATTCTGGCTTCTAATCAAGAAACATATGAAATAATCCTCAACACATCCATGATAACATTCAAGAACAAAGCCAATTTTCACACACACGGAACGTTCTACGCATAACTGTCTCTAAGGAAAGTTCAATGCATAACTGTCTTTTGAAAACCGACAAGTTATGTTTCAGCGCTCCTCAAAGAATCAAAACTTCCCATTGTTTTTCTTATTGCATTTCAAATGAGTCATTAGATGGGTTTACAATTACCTTTAGGCAGTCATTACACCATCCATTTGGTTGGAATTTTTATCCACCACTTATGGATCTTCTTGTTATGAATGAAATTTCTGTTTCTTACCAAACAACATTATAGCATATGAGGTCGATTTTTGCCAGCATTTATGTTGATTGCTCTATTCTAGTCTCCCCATTATTCCAGAATCAAAATAATACATGCTTTCAATCCTCTGTCATCCCATATTGTGATTTAATATAGTTTCTTTTAGAGTTCTATTTTCAGAAATGCATTTATACCGCCAAAGACTAGGAAGACTCAACCATAGAATGGCCAAACACATGGTTCAAGAAGAGAAGGGCAATTCCAATGTTTGTTAACTTACATGGGTTTTAGACTCTTGAGTAAAAAAACATCAACTATGATAAGGAGCTAACTTAACCATCCTCCGCATTAGATCCAATATTCTGAAAAGGCAGCAGGTGACCGGTCTCTCAAGTGGCCCATGAAGAGGTTTTATGATGGCTGAAAACATTGTTGCCACAGCAGGCTTGATGCGGATAGGGAAGAAGAAACGTGGGAAAAGAGGATAAGGAGAAATGCAGAGAATTAAGAAGATAGGACTGATAATTATGAAGAAATCAGAGAGAGAAAGCANGGGTCGGCTCGGTCTTCTCTCTGTTGAGAGTTGCTTGCAGAAGAGGATTCTTTGTTTGCAAGCTGAAGCTTGGCTAGTTCCTTCTGGGTTTCGGCAAGTTCTTGCTTGTCTCTTAGGATCTGTACAGACTTGCGAACCTGCAGTGGCAGGATAAAAACAAATGCTTTTATCAGAACCACTTGTAGAAGTGACTGACAGTAAGATTAAACAATATAACCATGAGAGAGAAGCTAATAAAACTAAGCCAGTTAACATTCATGAATAAAGTTGAATTAGTTTGCCTAAAGCTCAAGCAGGAATATCAGAGAACAGAAGCTACCCATTTATCGTATTGAAAAGAGCCAAGGATTAGAAATAAATGTCAACTGACAAACATGTTTCTTGCTCCATTCCCCACAATCTGGACATTGTGACATTCAATGAAGAACACAACATAATAGATGCCAACTCTCCTGCTATCAACCAAGCAGAATAATGAGAAACTGCACCACATATTCTGGCTTCTAATCAAGAAACATATGAAATAATCCTCAACACATCCATGATAACATTCAAGAACAAAGCCAATTTTCACACACACGGAACGTTCTACGCATAACTGTCTCTAAGGAAAGTTCAATGCATAACTGTCTTTTGAAAACCGACAAGTTATGTTTCAGCGCTCCTCAAAGAATCAAAACTTCCCATTGTTTTTCTTATTGCATTTCAAATGAGTCATTAGATGGGTTTACAATTACCTTTAGGCAGTCATTACACCATCCATTTGGTTGGAATTTTTATCCACCACTTATGGATCTTCTTGTTATGAATGAAATTTCTGTTTCTTACCAAACAACATTATAGCATATGAGGTCGATTTTTGCCAGCATTTATGTTGATTGCTCTATTCTAGTCTCCCCATTATTCCAGAATCAAAATAATACATGCTTTCAATCCTCTGTCATCCCATATTGTGATTTAATATAGTTTCTTTTAGAGTTCTATTTTCAGAAATGCATTTATACCGCCAAAGACTAGGAAGACTCAACCATAGAATGGCCAAACACATGGTTCAAGAAGAGAAGGGCAATTCCAATGTTTGTTAACTTACATGGGTTTTAGACTCTTGAGTAAAAAAACATCAACTATGATAAGGAGCTAACTTAACCATCCTCCGCATTAGATCCAATATTCTGAAAAGGCAGCAGGTGACCGGTCTCTCAAGTGGCCCATGAAGAGGTTTTATGATGGCTGAAAACATTGTTGCCACAGCAGGCTTGATGCGGATAGGGAAGAAGAAACGTGGGAAAAGAGGATAAGGAGAAATGCAGAGAATTAAGAAGATAGGACTGATAATTATGAAGAAATCAGAGAGAGAAAGCAGTAGTCAATTATCCAATCAATCAATAATCAATGCCATGTCAAAAAAAAAAAAAAATTCAATGCCTGCCTAACATATGTACATCCATCCCTTCATATAATTAACTAAAAACCTTGAAAATCATAAAATCCTGAACTATACAATCAAAATAAGAAGATAAACCTTAAACTCATTAACAAATTATTCACCTAAGAAAAACTAATAAATCCCATATTATTAAATAATAGAATAACATATAAATAACTTCCTGAATCCTAATCTTCGATTTCAATCTTCACAACTCATTTAATGATGGATGTGCCCATGTTTGACAAGCTTTGATTATCGATTAAGGATATAAAGGAAAGTGGCATTCTATCTCACATCAAAGAAGATAAAACAAGACCAGATTACATTTAAACTCACCTCTTGGAGGTGCTTTTCAAGAGATTTGAGTTTTGAGTCAGCCTCCCCATTATCACGAACTAAATCAGAACGCATTTCTCCAATGGATTTGTCAAGGTTGTAGCAATATAATTCTAATTGCGACAGACGTGAGCTAATTCCCTCTAGAAAACGCATGAGATTGTCAGCATATTTCTTCATGGTCTTCTCAACAGTAGAGATCACATCTTGGTTGAAAGATTCCTCTGGCGGACCATTGGCGGCAGCTGGAAACATAGATGATCTTGTCATTCTGCTTTTATGGAATTCCTGCTCAGTGCAAAGAAATACCTTAATAAGTGACTAAAAATACACTAATAAAACATAAAACACACGATCACAGCTAAAACTGAGATATAATTTATTATAAGTACAAACAGAAAACAAAAATTACAACAAAAATTACTCTGCTTGTCAGAATCAATGGAAATGATCCTTCAATATATAAGAACAAGGAAAGAAAGTCTACACTCCTGAACTCCAGAAAATGGATAAATTCTGTTTCTCAAAAATTTCAAAAGAGGTAATGAGGTAAAAACTTCCAAAAAAAACCTGAGAAGCTGTTTGCAAATTCCATAAACAAGTGTCTCAAGATCATATCTCCACGAAAAACACCAGTTTTCTGGAAAGTAAAAAATTCCAGTTTTGAGAAAGAAGCTTTACTACAGGATATAAAATTGCAAACCGCATCAGCAATTAAACCCAACAAAATTTTCCCACCCAAAATTCTCCCAAAAATGCCTGAAGAACTGCCTAAAGTTATCTGCCTTAGCATAAATTCAGACATAGCACAAGAATCTATCCAATCCATAAATTTGGCAGGTTGTTCTACTGATTAAAACAGTTAAATTTCTCGAACCTTTCTAATGACAAGACTATCAAAGGTTTTTACCAGTTAATTGAAACATAAAACCAACCCAAAAAGGGGAAACAAACTACCATTCATCGTATTCTTCTACTGATCCTATCACTAAAAAAAATATTGTTAGGTGAAGTCAACACATTTTCCGCGCTTCAGCACTTTCACCTAGTAGATTTTTTCTTATCTCCCTAAGATATCAAACCCACTCATTTTGGGAGCATCAGCAGTAACAGCCCTTACTTTCAAGGGGAAAAACTCAGCACATACAGAGAACTACAGTTCCATTATGCAAAGGAACAGAGAAATTAGTCTCCCGAATAATTCAAATCAATTTGCTAATCATATCAGAGCCATATGCTGGAATCTTTTAAGCAACTAAACTGATATAATTTGCATTATGCAGAACAATCTAGCTGTAAGACTTATGTTACAAGCCTATGAATATGAAGGGTGGTTGGATGTCAGCATCACAAGTCACCACCGTAAGGCAGTTTGGTGCTGTGTAACAGTATAAGTTGATGGTCAATTGCTCCTGGTAGCAACAGCTTCTAAGGATAGAACTCTTAATGGAATGTATCAAATCGAAGTCCCACCTACCCAAGACCAACATAGTATATATAATACACCAAAAACTACTCCCCTAGCCTACCAGTAAAGTAGCTTGTAGCAATAAGCCTTTTGTAGACTATTTGAAGCCACTCTACTTAATAATAGTGCATCTTTTCTGTATTTTGTTTGCAATGGTTTATTTTGTTTAGTTTTGCACCCCTAACATGTTATAGTATAACTGAGTCAAACTCAAAATCAATAGCCCTCGTCCTCATCCACTCTCAAAACAAAACCACCAAGCCATCTGCATCATAAGAGGATGTTTCATCAAGTGTATAACTACACAAGTCGTCAGCTATTTAAAATCTATTTGCTACGATTAACATTGAAGTTTAGATTCAAAGCTAATTTTTCAAACAAAATAAAAAACACCAACACTATCAAATTTCTGGAGGCAAAAATACGATTATCTAATTTACACATCAAGCCCTAATGCAAAATAAGTAATACAGTTAGATTACTTTTTGTAAGCAGCTTTTCAATGATGGATGAAGTTGTGTAAGGACTGGAAAGAAAAAATGGAAACACAAAAATGCAACAACAGTAACAATTTAAAGAGTTGCTTGCTTTAAAAAATACTAATACGAGCGGGGTATACTTCTGGGAAGAAATCAAAGGAAAAATAGCTACAAAAGTCTTCGTCCTTGGATATTTAGAACAAGGAAATGACTATATGCCAGCTACAGATCAGCAATCTGGAATTTAGGGTCTAGAACTTCTTAATTCCTCTAGTTTGGTTCCATCAGCCTCAAACTCTGAGACTGGTTTTCAAGTTCCTCATCCTACAGGCGTCCTTTGATCATATTCTGCAAGTTTTCGTAGTCCCAATGCCTCTTTGGATTTTCCAAGTATGCACATCAGTTTAAGGGTACTTAAAGGGACCACTTTGAGAAGTAAACCCATGGAAGACACAGAAATGTAAATGCAGAGATGAAGAAGGTTGATTTGCCTCTACTATGCTGTGGATTCGTGTTTAAAGCACTCATTTGCTTAGCAAAAATAGGCAATAACAGCAAGCTACGTAATGGCTTAGTGTTTATCACTTTGTTGCTAATGAAAAGGTGTACAATAAGAAATACAAAATACAACTGCATGCATAGAAGAGTGCCTCTGAAGACTCCAAATCATAAAGAGCTCTCCTGGATATATAATTCAATTATCTAATGTAGGGGCCCAAAAGAAACCACAATAAGAGATATAAGGGCGTGAATCAGCATAATCCCTCGAGCATATACATCTCCAGGAACAAATACACTTCCTCAACCTCATTGCTTTACCACTTTGCTGCATCATCCCAATCTTCACCCAATAACGATCGTACTATTGGGAACACAGCAAAATAACAGGGACATCATGATCTCTCCCAAAATATTGACACCATTTTGGATTAATGCAAAATTAAGCATTATTATCATTTTAAGATTCAAATGTTACCTAGATCGTGGTTAATTTGGTATGTGATGCGGGTAGAGTTATGCAATATGATACTTACTCCAATATGTAGTGCGGGAGGATAGACTTAAATGGTGCGCTGTTTTGAACTTAAATGGTGTGCTGTTTTGAATTGTGATTTGTTTGAAACTCTTGTTGGATTATTTTCTCTATTATATGAAATTATAGGTATTTATACATTTATACATATAAGATTTATTGTCTGTTTATAATGTTTTCCAAAGCAAACCGTAATCATAAAGAATGCACCCGCTAATGGTTGAAAATAACAAAATTAAGAGGTAACATATTTGTATTATGAGAAAATTCAAATTTCAACAAATCAAAACTATAAGTTTAAGATAACCAAAATAAAGAAGTAAAGACCAGTTGTGGTTAAAATTTGCGGTTAGTATGACAAAAATGGTTGCAATTTGGAGTTGGCTAGTTGGGCAAACAAGGTTATGAACCCACCCTGTATTGAGTCATGAGAAGCTTGACGCACATACGGTTCCATATCCTTGGTATGATTTTCCAGAGGCCAACAATAATGGTTCCCACAACAGAACTACTGCCTGGCATCATAAGAGATCTCCTACATTGTCTTCACTTTGTTGGACAGCTATATTGAACCATATAGTCGACCTCACACTGATATATGCATTTGTTCTTGTCAATATCTCTTGAGAACTATTCCATGACTGGACTCTTTACCCATTTGTCTTATAAATTGGGTCTTGTTGGACCTATATAAAGGGCTTCCAATCTTATGTACTATAAAAGGGGGAAAAAAGAGCTTTCTGTCAATTTAAGCAACAAACCTCAAGTTCACGCACACCTTTGCCTTAGGGGAAAGAATATGAGCTCTTAAATCAAATTATAAAAAGAAGCCAATGTAGGAAGCTTCCGCTACTACAGATTCTGGGGAAAGTTAGATGCTTCAATCTTGCATGCAAAGAGACTATTTTCATAATTCGAACCGTGACACTCAAATTACAATAAACTAACATCACCCAACACCTGCAGCTTGAATTTCACATACATCCAATTGTATGATAATAATCTGAAGATCACAAAACCTTGCAACCATAATATTAGAAGATCATATGATCATAGCCTATATATGCACCTCATTCGTTTCATTTCCATCTTCCCTTCTGCCAAATTAAACCCTATCATTATATCTTTTCTTCTTTCTTCATCGCAATTTGCCAATGTATCTAAGATAAGAAGCAAAAATCACATTTCCACCATTTCAACACATTAAAAAAGACCAAGATGACAGATATTCCCACTTCTCAACCGCAACAAAGCAAAATTCCATAGCTCATGTTTGCTCCAATAAAACCAATAAAATTGAAGAAAACAAATGGTTTCAGCTTCCTTACACCACAAGCAGCTCAACCCGTACGAAAAATAAATGTTGTCCTTCTCCCAGCACACCACTGCCATAAACTTCTTTCCGGTCGTTCTTGTTATTAAGAACTTTCATACCTCAAGTAGTGCACACCACTAATGCATATGGGTACATATTCATAATGCATCACTTGCGTTTTTAAGAACCCAATGTCTCGAACCACCCTAACGTCCCAAATTTGCGAACACAGAAATCAAAACTGGCTCATGTCAGCCATTTTTGCAAGGAAACTCGGAATTATTCCATTCCACTTGAATTAAACATGAATCACCCAAATCTCTTCTAAAACTCAACTACAGTTCAATCGACTAACATTTTCCACAGAGCCACAGATCAACAATCACAGCATAAATATATATCACTTCTCGTATAATCACAATAATTAATTAAAAACCCCTAAATCCCAACAGATAATCAAAGTTTTACCTTAGATTTAAAAAGAATTACGAACTGAAGAGAGAGTATCTGAGCAAAATACCTTAGTGGGATTGGTTCCAATTACAGGATCAGAGTGGTTTCCATTAGAACTTTCCTGGTTCGCATAATCCTCGTACGAACAAAGAATGTCATCGGTGGCGAAATCGAACCCCTTCGTACCCGACGATCCAGAAGCCATAGTAGAAGATACAAAACTTAGGCTTTAATATCACCGATCTAAACAAAGTAAAATACAGAAAACAAGGCAATGAAAAGGACTCCAATAGGGTTTGAGAGAAAGAGAGAAGGAGCAGAAATTTTAGAGAGAGAGATGCTCCGTTTGCTAAAGAGGAAGACTCGTTTTTATGTGTACATGTTCCTTTGAGAGCAAAAAGCAACGTTTTCATCGTGAATGGTAAGATAAGGATGAAAAGCGACCGACTTTTTATTGCTGATACGTCCTTGAACTTTTGACGTATTGTACATTTGCCGTATTTGATTGGGCAGCTGACACTTTGTACCCGAAAATGTTTTAAAATTTTAATTTACACTTCAACAAATTAAAATTTAAAATTACACCTCAATTACATAAAAATGCAGCAATTTTCTATGTTTTAATAAAATTAATTACAATTTGTTGCTAAAACTATGGTTACGAGGGAAGCACTTTTTTTTTTGCTCGGAGATAAGAATGTGATGAAATTATATTGAAAGGAGACTACATATTCGTGATTAAATCCATTGATGCTTTTGATGAGGATTTTTCACCTCTAGGTACCATTCTACTGGGCATCAAATCTATTAAGCTGAATTTTAGATATTTTTAGTTATCTAATGTGCGTAAGGTTGGAATAGAGTCTCACATAACTTAGCTAAAAATGCTCGTTTTGTTTCAAGTATGGCAGGAAGCGGCATATGATTTTATCATGCCTTCCCTCGTCGCAAATATTTCAAATTAATAAAATTACTACTGTTTCTATCAAAAAAAATAAGATTAATTATAATTTTTTATGCAAAACACTTAAAATTGAGTAATGCCCAATATATTAAGTATATAAGTAGAAAAATATAAAGACTACAACACAAAAAATTGTTAGACAAAACAACAAACGTGTAAATTTGGATCATATTACTATTTGTTTGTTTAGTTAAGGGCGTAATTTAAAATTTTTTATCTTTAAGGGTATAAATTAAATTTTTTTAAAAAAAATTAACATAGAAAGTATCATTCATAACTTAAAAAATTGGTCTACCAGAAGATTATCCGTAGCATATTCCATATTTCCATGTGTATGAAACTAATTTATCAGAAATAAAAAGTTTATTTATATTTTCTCCAAAATTTACTTATATTTATTTGTTTATACTTCCCTAAACAAATTTATTTGTATAAAAAAAACAACTTTGGCCAAGAACATAAATCAAGGATACCAGAGGTCCAGAACGGCTTGCACACCTCATACATGTGATTTATCTTTTGAAGGTTAGTTGTTATAAGTTTTATCTTGGAAGAGGTATTTGCATTATAGTAAATAATAAGGAAGGGCTTCCATATTATTAATGTAATACTAAGGGGTCTTTGTATAATTAGTTTAAGAGAATGTTTTCGTTGTAATAAAAAAAGAAATAAGAAAAAAGAAAAGAAGGAAGGTTCCTCTACATTATTTCTTAAAATTATGGAGGGTTTGACGTGATAAACACTAAACAGAGATACCGAGACATCTATTACCCTTACTTACGTTTTTTTTTTCCAGAGAACACTACAACAATTTCACTTAAAAATAAAAATGTTATAAGTCCTTAAATAATACGCACACATCCTAAGGTTATACAATATGGAATAACCCCTTCATGTGTTGAAAAGCGAAAATGTGGGAGCATAAAGAAAGAGTTATAAAAAGTAATTGGGGGGGAAATTAAAGTGGAACTCTTTAATTTTGTTGTTTTTTTTTTTTTTGTGGTGCCTGGGAGATTTAGAATTCCTCTATTACTTATTTTCTTCAATTTCTCTCAATATAGTGTTAGATGAGTGACATGTGTAAAATTTTAAATTTTAATGGATAAGATGTTTTCTCATTCATTTTGTTGTTGGTAGAGTGTTAATCATTATTAAGAAATTTTCTCACAAGAAAAAAATATTGCTTGTTAAAATTTAGAATCTTACACATGTCACTCATTTAATATTGTATTGAGGAGAATTGAAGGAAAGGGATAATGGAGGGGATCCAAATTTGTGCCGGGGGTGTTTGTTTCAAACTTAGGTTGTATTGACGGCTGATTAATGAAAATGGTTTTGTACAAATTGCAACTAAGCTAAAAAATAAAAATATTGATTTGAGACAAATCAGTGGCCATACTTTTTAGACAAGGAGTTTAAAGGGAAACACCAAGTTTCAAAAGAAAGACATAACAAGACGAAGGCCAATAAGTTTAACACTAAAGATAAATAAAGTGATAAGCCATTTACGTCAAAAAGAGGTGTTGTACTTGGGTTATTTCATCTGTAATAACCTTTATCGTGCCAGAAATTATCCCGAGAAAGAGAAACTAGGCACCCTAGTGATTGAGGATGTCGTTGATTGTGCGAAAGAGCTTACACGAGTCAATCTTTTGCAATACTAAAATGCAATTAGAAAAAGAGGAGTCTGTGGCAAAGAGTGGTTTGAGGTTAATGCAAATTCGGATGAACAATATCTCCATCAAAGCGATGGTTGATATCGACGTAACTCATAAATTTGTTTCTGATTGGAAGGTACAACATCTTGGTTTGGTGTTGGCACGGGATTCCAACTAAATCAAAACTGTTAATTTAGAAGCAAAATCAATAGATAGTGTTGCCTATGTCTCATTAAAAGTTGATGATTGGCAAGAATAATGTGATTTTATTCTCCTTTGCAAGTTAAAGATGATTTGCAAAGGGGAGAGGCGACATACTTGATACTTGGTCATGTTGATTGTGGATGAGGAGTTCAAAGCTTTGCAAATTTTTTAACTAGTGTAATAGTTGCTCAAAATTCAAGAGAGTGGCACCCAACGAATTGCTGATCAAATTGCCATTGAAACGGGAGATTGACCATGTCATTGAGTTGATTTTAGGGACAAAACCCCTTGCCTAGGTGCCTTATCGTATGTTTCCATTAGAATTGGTGGAGTTAAGGAGATAATGGGCTGGTTTATTGAAGGTGGGATCCATCAAGCCTTCAAAGGCAGCATACAGAACTCCTATCTTATTTCAAAGGAAGAAGGCTGGTTCCTTGAGACTCTATGTCGACTAACAGACCCTTAAAAAGATGACAACCAAAAACAATTATCCACTCATTCGTTGATGAGTTGTTCAATCAATTGGGGAGTGCGGTTTTTTTCACTAAAGATGGATTTGCATCTTAGATACCACCAAGTCCAAATTATAGTAGGCGATGAGGCAAATACAACTTAAGTAACGAGGTACAGCTCATACGAGTTCCTTGTTTTGCATTTTGGTTTAACAGATTCCCGAGCAACATTTTTGTAATTTGGTGATCAATGTGTTTCAAGAATATTTGGATTATATTATGGCGATTTACTTGGATGATATTGTTGTCAATAGTCAGACTTTAAAGTAACATATTTGAACACCTTATATTGGCTTTGACTAAGTTAAAAGAACTAGAGTTGTTTTTAAAACCTAACAAAGTGTGGATTTGTCCATAGGGAAATCAAATTCTTTGGGCATATAATTTATGCAGATGTAGTGAAAATGCACCTTAAGAAAATTGAGGTCATTGTGAATTGGCATGTCCCTAAAAAATTGACTGAACTTCGTTCATTCATTCTTTGGCGAATTATTACAAAAAATTTGTAAAAAATTACTTAAAGAAAATTGTTGTACTAACTGATCTTTTGAAAAAAGATAGGTCTTGAAATGGTCATATGAATGCCACGAGACATTTGATCGTTTGAAGGTGGTGATGACAACTAACCTAATTTGACGACTTTTTGACTTTGTTAAGCCTTTTGAAGTTCATACTAATGCATCAAACTTTGTAATTTGAGGGGTGCTGGNTGATAAGCCATTTACGTCAAAAAGAGGTGTTGTACTTGGGTTATTTCATCTGTAATAACCTTTATCGTGCCAGAAATTATCCCGAGAAAGAGAAACTAGGCACCCTAGTGATTGAGGATGTCGTTGATTGTGCGAAAGAGCTTACACGAGTCAATCTTTTGCAATACTAAAATGCAATTAGAAAAAGAGGAGTCTGTGGCAAAGAGTGGTTTGAGGTTAATGCAAATTCGGATGAACAATATCTCCATCAANAACTCAATGATACTAAAAAGTAGTATTCGGTACACGAGAAGGAAATAACAACAATCCTTCATTATGTGAACACCTAGAAACACTACCTTTTAGGAAAACATTTCTTGTTCTTGATCGACAAGGTAGCTACAAGCTACTTCAATTCCATGAAGAATTTGAAACTGAAATAGACATGATAGGAAGATTTTCTTGTCCAATTTGTTGTGCTTGTATTACAAGTACGACAATGCACATCGAGTTGTTGATGCTCTCAGTTGGAAGTAAGTTACTAATAGAATAGTGGCTTCATTTTGCATAACGTAAAAATGATCAAATAACATAAAATACTGAAGAAAATAAAAAACTTTCTACCTGTCACTATTTTATGGGATGAATAATGGAGTTACGACATCGGTACATTACGTTGCTAACTGGTATATTTTTGTTTCGTTGTAAAACGTACCACAAAACAAAATTAAAAAGAATATCTGCCAAAAAAACCACTAGAGTGTTGTTATGAGTGGATTTTACAATTTACCCTAAAATAAGAAGAAAAAAAAAATCCANTCAATTGGGGAGTGCGGTTTTTTTCACTAAAGATGGATTTGCGTCTTAGATACCACCAAGTCCAAATTATAGTAGGCGATGAGGCAAATACAACTTAAGTAACGAGGTACAGCTCATACGAGTTCCTTGTTTTGCATTTTGGTTTAACAAATTCCCGAGCAACATTTTTGTAATTTGGTGATCAATGTGTTTCAAGAATATTTGGATTATATTATGGCGATTTACTTGGATGATATTGTTGTCAATAGTCAGACTTTAAAGTAACATATTTGAACACCTTATGTTGGCTTTGACTAAGTTAAAAGAACTAGAGTTGTTTTTAAAACCTAACAAAGTGTGGATTTGTCCATAGGGAAATC